AATTTAAATGTTCATTAAAAAGAACACATTTTAGTCGGTGCATTTTTTCACAATGGAGGAGGAATGGTCTTGACATTATTGTGAGGTGCTGAAAAGACTGGAACAAAAGCTAGCATTAAAACTGAATGTATTTTTGTGAGCCGACTTATATTAAAAAAATGGCCATCCTTTTTTTTTTTTTTTAGAAGTAGCTGCCTGTTAACCTACCTAGTTTTGCTTATAATAAAGACAAAGCTTTAAGAGTAAACTGTAACTGTATTCTGTTATGGCCACAAGCAAAGATTACAATTCAGTGTTGAATTTCTAGAGTGCCCTTCAAGCAAAATATTTCAGAGTGCTCCACAGTCTCTAAAGCATTAATTATCATTTCTGCACTCTGAATTCTAAGTTGACATTGCCTAGATAGAAGTAACAAAAGAAAGCAGACTAATGAGGCATTTTATTATTGCTCTTTTATAAGGTATGATTCTGTGTAGAGTTCAGAAAATCGAATTGAGAAAATTAAGGGAAACTGACAAAATAGTTATTATGAAAAATAGTTGATGGCTGCCAGGTACATTTTCTCATAATTAAGGAAGGAGAAGATTGTGGTTAGAGTTAATTATTTTAAAACCTAAAAAGGAAGAGAAATATAGGCTTATCTTTTGACTCAGTTTTCTTCTTCAGTAGACACTTTTATAAAGCTCATTTTTGGTTCAACAATTTTGTCCTTGGCAAGAGTAGAATAACAGGAGATGGAGGTAGAGAAACAGGTGGGAACTAAGTTATGGAAATTATTCCTTCTCCAACAATTACCCCATACACAGTACTGCCCTATGACCTATAAACCATTTAAATCTCACTTAACATCCACATAGTGGGTCCACTTCCCTTGGGCATTTATACATCTACTTTTCTGTCCTGTGACGTGCCAGAGATCCACTGCTTCCAAGCAGACTTGATTAATCAAGTCTTCTCCACATGCACACTGAAGTGAACTGCGCTGCACCTCATGCAGTTGTATAAGTGACAAAATGCATGTCAGCACACAGAAAGTGGCAGTGGTGCGCTTTTGAAGTAAAGCACCTCCATGTGTTTTAGTTCAAAAGCGTGCTGCTGCCATTTACTCAGCGCTGATGTGCATTTCGCCGCTTATACAACTGCAAGTGTTTCAGCACCAGGCGCTTTTCAAAGCGCCTGGTGCTGTGGCACTTGCATGTGTAAAAATGCCCAAGAACACTAAGCTAGATCTGTTCCACATGTTAGGTATCTAAGTTGCACTTAAATATCTAATGCTCTCCCATTCTGCCCTGCTCAAGTCCCTGAAAAAAACATTCGTGTTGTGACATGCCTTCATTTTAGCCTGAAGACTAAATCATAGGAAGTGGTCTGTCCACCTTAGACATTTACATGCCTAAATACTACATAGGCACCAAATAAGTGGAATAGGTTTTAACCCACTATGACCAAAATCACTAAAAACGTCTGTAAAGTGGGAGAAGTGAAGGATGGCCATAGCAAGGTACTGTCATCTACACAAAGAAGAGCTTGGGGAATGCAGGGGCCCATTGTGTACTCAGTATATCTGTGAAATGTATGGTAGGATGCAAATATCCTATTTTTAAATACAGTTGCATCGGGCCCTTCTGGGGACTTGTCAGGGTTTCTACACCACTTCCTCATATTTGGATTCCAGTGGAGCTAAGGCAGAAGTAAGGCACCGACCCTTGCAGAATGGGATTTTCCTATATATATATGGAAATGTAGGTGCCTAGAGATCAAAATATAGGCACTGAATGAATTTAGGCACCTAATGAGTAGATCACTATGTTTGGCCTAGTTTATCAATCTGAATCTAGCCTTACGGCTATAAAGGGCTTAGTTCAGGAGTCAGCAACGTTTTTGGTTGCTGACCCACAGCCTTGCTTTGTAAGATGCTGGCATGCCAAGGGCAGACGGTGGGGGAACTGCAAAGAACCCAATCCATGTTGTGGCAGCACAGTCCCGGCCCCTTCCCTAGCACCTGCCCTAAGATATGCATGCCAAGCAAAACGCCTTCACATGCCATGCTGTGACACCCATTTCAGGGGTTGCCTACATGCATTAACTTATTGCAGTAATGGACTGCAATTAAAGGTTTGATTCTGATGTTTTCCCCAATATATAAATGTTAAAACCTGTTTAGTGGCAGTGTATAGAAGCCATTCATAATTTAAAGAGAAAGAGAAAAATTGTTTTCATTAACCAAAAGTGACAAGGAGAAATGAGCTGAAGCTGTACATATTTAATCAAAATTCCCCCACAAGATACTTTTTAACTAGAAGATCTATTAGGCAATGGAATATACTTCTATGGAAAATTACAGAATTCCCAGAAATAAAACTAGTCAGGTCACATTAAGCTACTTTACACACCCCTTTTTCTTTCAACAGATTTTTATGTAAAGCATATTGAGAGCTACTATTAAAAGTAATAAGAACTATGTATTTGTTACTATCATCATCTGCCTCATTGGTTATAAATACAAGTCATCCCTTTACAGTTAGTAGAATACTTGTATGGGTTCCAAAGCCATTTTTGTGAAATGTTTCCCATTTACTTCCCAATTACGTTGCTGCTTCCAGATATCTCTCACAGATAGGATGTTCCCAAAGCTTAGCTATGCAGAATGATTTCAAAATATAGTAGGAATAGTTGGTCTGATGAAAGATAGCACTTCTTCCACACTGACTGCTTCAAAATATAGTATGTATTCACCAATCAGAGTTTTTACAATAATGGGCAGTTTCATTTTCAGCACCAGTGGTTTCTCAGTATTTCTTTCTCAGTACAGATCTAGAAATCAAGGGGAACAATAAGCACCAGACACACTAGTAAGATGGGAGGAAAAAAGTGTTCATCCCATTGCCCCATGCCATCATACTACAGGACCTGATAACCTTTAAATTTGAACTGAGGCACATATTATTTACATGTATACAAAACTGATGTTTAATTATGCAAAAATCTGCTCATATTAGATTAGTCAGAATAATAAACTGGCTTCTAGTTTATCAAATTTTGGCAATAGCAAGGTTTCTTCACTAGGCTACTCTGAGCAGCAAGAAGGCTTCCTGAAGGCCCTCCGTGAGGAGATTTTCAAAAGAGCTTAGTACTAAGCAGTAGCTCAGGCCACTTTGGTCTTAAGGATTTAATCCTGCTGTTATTTGCCACTTTCATTCTTCCATTAATATTGTTATTAGCGTATGCGTATCTGGCTAAGCCAAGGCTCAGCGTTCTTGTTGTCAGAATATCAGCTGCTTAGATGCCAGTTATGGGATGGTTATCTATGACAGGGGTTCTCAACCAGTGGGATTCATCCCACTGGTGGGACGCAAAGGTCCTCTAGGTGAGATTTGTGTCACGGCGGTGAAACTGGAAGTGCCACAGCGGGACTTCTGATTTCACTTTTGCATACTTCGATCAGCCATTGGGTGACTGGTGGGACCAGGATTTTTTGACCTTACATAGCTGAGACGTAAGGTGCAAAAGGTTGAGAACCGCTACTCTATGATACGAGTTGTAGTCTGCATCTCTCCACATTTTTGGAACACTTTGAACTGTGAGCCACATCTGGATCAGTTGACAGTGTCCATGGCCTTTATCAGTGTGCAAGATATCCAGAGGTGACTTGGTTATCAAGAGGTAAGGTTTTTGTCAAGAAAATGGCTAGTCACTGCTAACAGGGCCTGTTTTTTGGCCAACAAGATGTGACAGAGAAAACATGATATGGCTGAGATGACTATAGGTAATATTGGGATTTGAGGGAAACTGGAGGAGGGTTAAAGAGCTACAGGTAAGCTCAGATGAGGTCAAATGAGCTTTTGACCTTTGCTGTTATTTTGGCTTCATGATGAGTGTGGTTACTTGCTAAAGGCAGTCAGGGCTGAGGTATGTACCACAGAGTCCTTATAAGATGCACATGGTCTGACAGAGCTGTAAATTGACTAACCAAGTATGTGGCTCCAGGATCCAGATTGGAACACAATACTTTGCTATCAAGTATCAGAGAGTGAGGGGAGAGTTGTGAAGAGGGTAAGTATTACATCTGCAGGTGGCTGTGCAAGCTTGCAAAGCTGAATGGTATCCGGTGTTAATTTTGACAGCCAATTTTATCAAATGGTCACAATAAGCCAGAGGTCTATCAAGAGTCATGCTGAAGTAGACCAGGTGTAGACTGTGTTTCAAGGTGTATCCACCGAGGGAGGCACTGAGTTCCCAAGTTGCAGAAGCATCACTGAAGTGGCAAACCCATGAAACTGATTTCAAAGCATTCAGATGCAAGTGCCAGTTAGTATGACAGTAGTTGGATATAATTGCCAGATCAGAATTTAAGATGTCCTTAGGGTCAGAAAAAAATCAAATCTCAGCTTCCAAGCAGATGTCATTACAGGATGGAGTGTTAGGCAGAACACTGATTGTACAAGTTAAAAAGAGCATTGGAAAAAAGAGCACTAGCGTAGAGACCTGAGGTAGGCCATTGTGCTGGGGTTTCCTCTCACTGACTGGGTTATTCACATGGACCTGATAGTGGTGTTTCCACAACTAACAAAGCAAAGAAGAACAGTGCTAATGCCACATATTGAGATCTCCTGATAACTGGATTCACTGCAAGTTATCTGTGAGAACTTGATCA